ACTAAGCCACACCAGCCAGAGTCGAGGTGTGGCGAAACCTAGTTTTTCAAATATTAGCGATCATGACTTGGACTGTAAATGGGCAGAGAGCACACCGACCAGCAGTGCTAGGCTGACTCAGGCTTGTGGAACTGGAATGAATGGGCAAGTCTTATCCTCCTCTAGAAATCTGCCTTCCAGCATCCACCTTTAGACCCAAACAATACCTACACTGTAATTTCTGAAAGCAATCTTGCAACTACTTCTCACAGCGGCAAAGATGGTGTGCAGGGTTTCTCCGGTAATCTGTTGAACACACACATGGACCACTTTTTATAAATTTATGACTCACTCAGGCTCCCTGTTTCCTCTCTGCTAATACCCATTTATTCTAGCCCTTATTCCAGCCACGTTCTCAGGCAGCAAGGCTGAAATCGGACAGGCAGGCAACTGAAAATTTTTGGCTGATTGGCGGTATTGAAGTCGAAGGCCCGGGGTTGGCCCGCGTTTCTGATTGGAGTCATTCACGAATTCTAAAACAGCCTTCCTTCATATTTTATTTAGGAAAGCATCTGAAATAAAGGTGCTTCATAAAGTCAACAGTATATCATAGCTTGACAGCAATTTTCTCATAGTAGTACATAATATAATGGCGCATCTTAAAATTGACAATATCTTAAAGAAAACATGATATCTATGTCAAAGGTTAACCTTAAATGTTTATTAGAAAGTGTTTGTTAGAAGCACACGAGCCACCAGATCTCTAAGACAACAGGGAGTTAGTTGGTGGCCACAATTCAGACCCACTAATTGTTTGCCAGGTTAGAATGAAGCCCCGATGAAGTCAGATTTTTACCATTTTCCACAAAAATTCCCATGCTTTCTAACACTATGGACACCATACTAAGCAGGGCTTCTAATTAATTCTGGCCTAGAAGCCATCAGCTTACAACCCCTGACATTTACCTCTAACTTATACTATCCTGATTGATCTAGCTATGAAGACCTTTCAAGATACTTGGAAGGGCCCTGGGCAGGTGCTCATTGGTTGGTGCATCGCCCCCTGTATGCCAAAAGGTTGTGGGTTCGATTCCCAGTCAGGGCACATTCCTAGGCTGTGGTTCAACTCCCCTGGTAGACATGTAGGGGAGGCAATCGATGGACGTTTCTCTCTCACATCGTTGTTTCTTTTTTTCCTTCTTTTTCTCTTTCTCTCTCTACCCGCCCCCCCTTCCTTCCTTCCTTGATCTGAACATATCCTTAGGTGAGGATTATCTGAAAAAAAGGAAAAGCTACTTGGTAGGGCAGGAGCATGTTAAAACTAGGGAATCAACAGAGCTGGGTTCAAAGCCTGACTCCAGGACTTATTCACTGTGCATCCTTATATGTATCACTTCACCTCTCTGAGACTCCTTTCCTCATCTGTAAATAAAAACATACCTCACAGAGTTCTTATGAGAACTAAATGAGACAGCAAGTGCATAAGGGCTTAACATAGTGTTAGGTGCAGAGAAAGCATAGGAAACACAGCCAACTATCCTTACAAGTGTAAAATGAGAAGAGAGAGTGGCCAAGTACCACCCCAGCTCAGCCTGGCCTTCACTTCTATGCCATGTGTCTCATTCTAACAACAAAAAGAACTTCTAAATGCCACATCTAACAAGAAAGCTGTCATTCCAACTTTCACCCACTAGAAAAATCTTTTCAACAAAGGATACCTAAGATATTGTAATAAAAGATTTCAGAAGGTTAAGAGGAACATTTATGAGTCAACTGTGCCAAAATGTGCTACAGACTGCCAAAAATAAATAAATAAATAAATAAATAAATAAATAAATAAATAAATACAAACAAAAATCCAAACAAAACACCGCCAATGAACCAAGCCAGATGCAGAAACTAGTCCAAACTCTTCTGATTCCAACCCAAATCTGATCTTGGGCTTAGAATCAGAAGTTTTGTTAATTTGCTAATCCTTCCAACACCAAAAATACTTCATCTGATGACGATTTCAAATTTGGTTACTTAAACTGGTCTGATTTAAATCAGGGGGAACATGAACTATACCTCATCAGAAGAACGTCGGCCAGAAAGGCATAACAAAAATAAACAGCACATGGTCTCACATAAGCAAAGCCCAAAGGTAATCCCTTTCATTCTACAAGCTGGAGAGGCGTAGAAACAATGCCCCCTGTTTTAGCATCTGTTATTTCCTAGGCTAATGCAATGCTTCACCGCCACCAGCACTTAGAGCCCAGAGTCTTCCTGACATGGGATATCACTACATGCACTCCAAACATACAACGCTTTCCGTCAACCTCCAATGAAAACATAAGATCTGCTAGGAATGTATGCCTGCTTTGCTAAGAGGTTTATAAGGTGGCTCTTCTATATCGCAATCAATGTATCTTCGTGTGTGTTGTTCTGCAGCACACCAAGTGTGTGAGATGAAGTACACCCACATTTCACAAGCCTTGGAAAAACAACCCTGCCTGTTGGGTTCATCAGGCATTCTACTTTAAGAACCTGCTAAAACCTTCCATTTGTTTTCTTGAACAGGCTAATTCAGGGAGATGAAACAAGCTATGAAAATTAAACAATTTGTTGTTAATATTCTACAAAGGCATTCCCTGATTTTCCGAGAGGCAACCTGCCAGCCTCAAACCTCCCAGATTGACAAACGGTGGGGGGGGGGGGGGGGGGAATAAACCAAAGAACTTATATGCATATATGCATAACCAATGGACACAGACAACAATACTGTGAAGGGGAAGTGAAGCAGGGAGGAGGGCGTCAATGGGGGGAAAAGGAGAAACATCTGTAACAAAAATAAATTAAAAAACACAGAAATATTAAATTATCAAAACAGCCCTCCTTTATTTTTCACTGATAGAAGCTGAAAAAGGAAGACAGATGTGACTTGTCTTTTGTAATATAACGTGTGAGGAACTAAATAGTACCAGCAATATGGCCATCACTCACTCAATAGAGTGTCTTCACCACCCCTTGTTATTCCCCATACAGCCCCAATACCCCTCCAGTAGCATGCAGGAGTGAACACACACATTCTCTTTATATTCCATCCTTTATTTTCACACTAGACACCAGTTAAGATCTTCACTATTAACTCATCCAGACAAAAGTGGCAAGATGCACTCCAGGTAGGTTCTGATTCTAGCTGAAAATGTAAACAAAGCCAGAACAGTGACAGGTATGTGATTCATTTATCCAGTTGCATTTCCCAAAATATTCATACCTTTTTTTTTTTTTTTTTTAAGGGAGCTGTTAAAAATAATCAAGTGATTTTTTTAAAGACCTAAGATGAAATGCCAGCTGTTTTCATCCTCCACAATACATCAAGCTCTTTGTTCAGGAGTGACTGCATCTCAGCACCTTTCTAAAAGCTTACCGCCTGCCCTCTACTGCTACTAATCCAGTGGGGAAGTATAGAATGAAAGAGAAAGGGAAAGAAGCCAGGGAGAGGAGAAGTCCCTGGGCAAATGAAAAACACTACTTTTCACCAGGTACCTGCACAAAAATGGGGTAAATTGTTTTACACAAGCACAGCACCGAAAAATAATCAAAATGTAAATGACACATTATCTGCATTGTGATCATTCTTTGATAAAATACCACAGCAAGTTTGTCCTAGTACCGTTAATGGGGGGGTCACACCCCCAAACACCCTTCTTCCCACCCCAAGGTACCTATTCCATTATGCACTTACATGGCACACATACACACACCATACCAGAGTAGAAAAGCTGGGGAGAGAGAAGCCATAACGTGGGTATGTCTCAGATAATAGCCTCTTCGTTAACCCCGCCCCATCACCAGAGAAAGAGGGGACCTCAGAAAAGAAAGGAGAGGAAGAAAGAGGAATCCAAAAATCCTTGCATTTCCAGGCATCAACTTTTCATGAAATGCACAACCAGGATAGGAAATACCTCCCTGCTGAGTAATGCTTCATGGGTTGTAAATTCACCTCTTGGAAAGGGAGGCCAGACCTGAGCGCGTACCGGCCAGATGGCAAACCCCTCCTACCTGCTCCATCCAGCCTGCCTGTCACGCCGCGCCAGGGACAGGCCTTCCACCCCCCTTTTTTGGCAGAGCGACACACCAATAAGAGCCGAGCGTGGCTGGGTGAGAGAGGGCTAAGCAGGGATTCAGCAGGATCCTTTCAAAAAGGGGAGTGGGAAAATGCGAGAGGGTGAGGGTAAAAACAAAGCCCTTTCCAGTGAAACCGACAGACTTCGGGGCGTGGCTTATTTAATTTGCTTTATTAATAAAAGGGAACGATTGAGCTTTCGACTCTCCACCGGTCCTGGAGGTGCGAGGCTTTGATCCTTGGGAGGAAAAATATGGCAGGGTTGCAAGCTTCCTCCAAGTTTCCAGGAGCACCTGCCACCAACCTAGACCTACTCCCCCCACCAAGAAGACCCCAAAATCCACACTCCAGGTTTTAGACCCTGCAAGACAGGACAGACACACACAGCTACACGGGTTCACCCACTCCCACCGTGACTAGCATACACACTATGAGAACACTTGCTAACACAATGAAAGTTCGAGGGAGACACACTCGGGTTCCTCCAGGCCCCGGGTCTCCAGTCCCGACCCAGACGTGACCACATACATCATGGACTCCCGGGCTGCAGGGGTGAGAGGCAGAAAGTTGCCCAACAGCCCCGGGAGACGCTGCTCCGAGAGGAGGGGGAACTCGGGGACAGAAGCGCACGTGCCTCCTCCCACCCAAAGGCGGAAAGCGCCCAAGTGAACCCCGGCTCCAAGGGCGTCGCGCCGCTTTATTTACAAACAATGCGCTGGGCTGGGGGAGGGGGCGCCGGGTGGAAAGGCCTGAGCACAACCCCCACCCCCCGACTCTGATCCGGGGCGCTCCTCCTGCGTTTGGGGTGGCCCCGCAGACGCGGGGAGCGCGCACCCCCGAGGTCGCCCATCCCCTGCCGGCGCCGGGCAGGAACTCGCCGAGGAGTCCCGGGAGGGAAGGGAGAACCGCTCACCTCGTCTTCCGAAAGTCCGTAGACCGGCTCCCCGAGCCCGGTCGCCATGGAGCCGGCGGCCCGCGGGCGGGAGGCACTCCCCGGCGGCTGGGCTGCGGCGCGAGCGGCGTCTGCACTCCTCCTCCGGGTCTGGCCGGCCCCGCACTCGGCCCGAGCGCGCCCAGCCGCAGGTGAGGAAGCCCGAGCAAACCTGGCTGCTGCCGGCGCCGCTTCCTCCCGGAAGGCTGCGGGCGCGGACCGGCGGTCCCGAGAGCGCGCGGTGCAGCGGGCGGCAGCCCCGGCGCCTCTCCTTGCGCGCGGCGGCGGAGCGGAGCCCGCCGAGCTCTCCCTCCCCGCGGCCCGCGCCTCCCTCCCTCCCGCCGCGCCCCTCCCCGCGCCCAGCCTTCTCTCGGATCTCGGGAACCCGGCTCGCCCGCCCCCTCGCTCGCTCCCTCCTCGCCCCGGCTCTCTCCGCCCCCTCCTCCACCTCCTCCCACTCGTCGCCCAGAGGGGACCCTCCCCGCCTCGCCAGGGCGGGCACACGCGCCCCTCAAGCCAATCACAGGCCGGGATGGGCGGCAGGCCGCGGGCTGCAGGGGTGACGGAGCTCTGCCCCCACGCCCACCCCACCCCCCGGCCTCCGGTGTCGCTCCCTGGGGCTCACCCGGCTCACCCGGCCGCGGGGCGAGTCAGCCGGGCAGTGTCCGTGCGGACCTGGCCTTCCGAGCTGACCCACTCTCCTGAGTCCCTCTTTCCCTCTACTTTGGGGAGGGGGCGAACTGGGCATTTGGGGGGCGCTGAAGGCATGTTCCACCAGAAACACGCCACACTCTGCCCATTCCTCTTCTCCGTGGCCTTTTTTTCAGGAGTCTTGAACTAACCGTAATTGTTAAAGGGGGAAAGATGGATGTTTCTAGACCCCTTTAAATTCCGGGCAACCCCAGCGAGCCGGACTTGGCTGCATTGTCAGCTCCCGGGAGCCTGTCCGCCTGGCCCGGCCGCCAGCCGGGAAGAGGCTGCCCCGGTGTGGCCGCGAGTCGCCACTGCCTGTGTCAACCTTACAGGGAACAAAACCAACATAGCACCCACTCTCAGTGCACCCACCCACTCGAAAACACACAGCGTGATTCTTTGAGTAAAAGGCAGCTTATCAGTGAGCCGCAACGTGAAATAACAAACTCCAGCGAAAGGTTATTCTCCGCATATGCAAACCATTAACACATCTTATTTGCCACTGTAGGGTTCTCTCCACATCCCAGCTACTGTTTCTCTAGCGAGCAGTTCATTTAATCCTTCATTTATAGGACTGCCAGAGACAACTTGAAATAGGTGAAAGAAATTCGTCACATGACTTTTTCAGGAAGGCTCTCTTAAATTTAGATGTGAAATGCAGTTATGAGTATAAAAAGAAAACATGCTATTTGACTTTGAGAAAAAAACATCAAGTGCCTGCTTGGATATTAACAGCGTGCGTTTAGGATTTTCACTCAAGTAAGTTTCTGAAGAAGAGAACTCACGTGATCCAAAGAATCCTCGTGGCCGATCCCAGCTATTTTACACAATATCTGCTGTATGCCCTCCTGGATTGTTTGCAAAAGGAAAGGGACACACCCGTCCTAATTTAAGCTCTCTTTGGTTTCCCTGCGACATTACTGTGGTTTAAAACGTGTGCCATATAATGGGTTTCCTTTCAAGACTCAGCCCCATGCAGTCAACACCCTACTCAGAAACCTACAAATTGTGAGCCATTAAGTAAACAGTACTTGGATGTTACAAAAGCCCAACTGAGAAAAAAAATCATCTTTATCCAGGAGCATTTAAAAAGACTGGTCTCTGTTCCTGTTTCCTGGCCGAAAAGAAGTCACTGCTTCTATACCCTCCTAGCCAGGCCTTTGTCAAGCTTTATACAGTTTTGACTGGGAATGGGGGAGCAATAGATCTTTAAATTTTTCTAAAATAAAATTATAGTTTCTAATTACACAGGACGCCACTCCTACACCTGGAGGTGCACAATTCTAGGCCTTACCTTTGGGTAAGGCCATATGACCTGGGAACAATAGGGGTGTGTCATACTTCTCTCTCCCTCCTCTGCATCATTACTGCTCCCACCCCCCCACAACAGTCTGCATCTGCCTGCACACTGGGGTCATGTCCTTGGCTTTCCCTGAGGGATGATTATGAGAAACTACAATATGAAATTTGCCATCTGTCATTTATTGGAGGGGTGTTTATAAAATTTGTGATCCATGACATCATCCGAAGGCCCCTGTAAGAAAAGTTGAACTAGACTTGTATTTCAGGCCTGTGAGAGAAAGCTTTCTTCCAAGGAACTGATAAGTTTTTTGCATTGTGGATTATTTCAACTGATTGTATTTTTCTGTTTACTTTGGCCACCAGGAAACTTGGGACCAATTTTATGGCATGAGGCCATAAAAGAACCCATAAAAAAACAAAATCAATCCCCTGTGTAATTATGTGCCAGATTTCTCCCAGTACAATGTTCTCTACCCTGGGTGCACGTTGTTATCATCTGGGGAGCTTTAAAATGACCAAGGGCCTGGTTGCCAGCAGAAGAGACTTTGATTTTATTGGTTCAGGGTAGGGACACGAACATCAATAATTTCAATAGCTTCCCAGGTGACGCTAACTTGCATGCTAAGAATGGCAGCCTTGCTCAGTGGTTCCCAAAATTTGCTGCACATAGGAACACCTGGGAATTTTAAAAACTTCTGCTCTCTGCCTCCCACCCCCATACACACTGATTTAATTGGTGTGGGGGTGCCACATGGGCATCAGGAGTTTTACAAGGTCCCCAGGTCATTCTGACCCATAGCAAAATTGAGGGATCTCTGGCCTGGGTTTGTATTCCTATTATTCACATATTTTCCACCATCCTAATTTTTTTCTGTTCTTCAATTTAGAGGAAATTACATATTATAAACATACTCAGATCATTTGTGATATGAGGTAGGATGTAAACAAATACACTTAATATAACTAGCATCAGGGATCAGCTTCACCCACCCTCTACCACTCTGAAATCTCAGATTAGTGATCCAGTTTCTTGGGAGAAGGCAGTGAGGACAACCTTGAAGAGAAACTATTCCTCAATCTTATCTGAAGCAAAATTGTTGTTCCATCCTCCAGTCAGTTTCATATATACCCAACAATTATACAGAACCTAACTAGTAGATTGTTCTCTACAACGTGTTCTGTTTGTTCCCTTTGGAGGCTGCTTTTAACATCTTAGGTTTGATGCTGTGGGTGTTTGGTAAATGCTCTTCACTTGCATCATCAGAAATGAAAAGTTTGCAAGAACAATTTTAAAGTACAGGGGGTAATCACAACTGGGGAACATTTTAATGCTAACCCTGTTTGCAAATTATTAAGTTGGCTTAGCAAACTCTATCTGAATCAAGTCTGAGAAGTACCCAAAGCTGAAGAATACATGGTGTCACATATTTGTCTATTTCATATGAAGAACACTAGATTTTTCTCTTCAATTTTTGGTGATTTGTGTCCTTTACAAAGAAACCTTATGAAGCAGACATTTTGAAGATGGCCATGTACCTGTAAAAACTGGTGTCATCGTGTTACTTAGCAGCATCCACTGACAGAGAAATCTCACAAATTTAAGATGTTTATGATTAAATAAGAAAATAAATTATGCTCCAAACTTTTGACTAGAGGTGGGTAGCAAAGAATGACTTGTAAATAGCTCATCTTTTTGTATTAGAATAGCTAAGCTTCTAGAGAAACACATTTGGAATACCTATGTGTTATTCATTCTATGTGCTATTTCAAAAAATAATATTGTTGGAGATAGTAGATACATGATTCCTATTTTCTCCAATCTGACAAAATGCCTGCCTTTTAACTGGCTTCATTAGCTATTTACATTTTTTAAAGTTCACTAGTATTTCTAAAATATCTGGATTTGCTTCAACATTTTTACTGTATATGTTTTTCTTACATTTTAGTGTTTCTTTTTATTAAGTTGTGCTGTTTCTTTTTTTAGTATTGTTATTACTGCATATGTTTCTCTCTCTTGGTTGGGATGTTAATCACTGCATTTCTCTTCTTTTACTGTTGACCATTCATGTTTTACATGCATGCCTAACTTAACAGATCAAAAGTTAATATCTTAATCCCCCATCTGATCAGTACAAGAAGTTTAAACTCTGTTTTTGATCAACTCTTTCCATGGTATTACTTCCATGGTATTCTAGTTTCATTCTGCTCCTTTTTAAACCACCAAATTAGATATTATTTTTATATTACACAGGTGTTGTTTTTGTTTTTGTTTTTTTTAGCTTTACCAATATGGTTTGTGGTTTTGTTTCTGTGGGTTCCTTGTTGCACCTTAGACATTCCTGTGGGATCACTTCCCTTCTTCCTGAGGGACATCCTATTGATTCCTTTAGTAAAGGTTCAGTGGTGATAAACTCTCAGTTTTGTGCTCCCTTCGGCAGCACATACACTAAAATTGGAACGATACAGAGAAGATTAGCATGGCCCCTGCGCAAGGATGACACGCAAATTCATGGAAAAAAAACTCTCAGTGTTTGTTCATCTGAAAATATCTATCCTCATCCATGTAAGATGGTGAAAATTATGATAGAAGCAGGCTCTAAGCTGCTGTGGAATGTGGAAAGATGTAAATAAATGTTCCTAATGTGATTAGTGTCATTGATTTTTACCCAGACTTACCATCCAAAGTCTTAGGTTAGTAAAATCAATTTATTTGGGAGTTGCTGAGGGACAGAACAACCCTCAGGAAAAACTACTCAATAGTCTTATCTAAGAGGAAATGGTCTTCTCATTCTCAGCACTTTGAACATTCTATGCCTCTGATTTCTGGCTTCTGTTGTTGGTAATGAATGGGCAGTTCTTAGTTCTAATTACTGTTCCTCTGGAGGTCACTTGCCTTCTTGGTTTCTTTTTGTTCTTGGTATTCTATACTTTCTACAATTTGTCTGTAGTGGCTTTCCTTTTACTTATTCTAACATACTTTGTGTTTTCTCTACATGTGGATTTTTTTAATAAATATATATTTTTTTATTAATTTATTTTTGTTACAGATGTTACTCCTTTTTTCCCCATTGACATGCTCCTTCTCCCCATCCCTCCCACCCCATGCCCAGCTTTGTTGTCCATGTCCATCGGT